ACATAACAGTTGTCTCAGATTTCAGGGTGGATGCACTTTATTGTTTACGATTGTTTCATATTTTATAACACTAATTATCATGACTTGGATAAAATTCTGTATTTAAGGGAATTAAGGAATAATATATTTAGGCAGTGAACAAATTAATACAAGTATTTTAATTTTAAAAATATTTGAAAAACGAGTATACCAATATCAGTTTTACTAAAACAATGTACCTATAATAAGAGAATCACTTTGAAAAAAATTTTAAGTTGTTTCGTAAGCACACAAAGACACTTGTAAAATTTACTTGCTTAGAGTGACGTGGATTATGCAAATAACGTGGTGAAAGAAAACTGCGAGTGGGCGGCGCGTATATGAATTTTAAGTGTGTCATAATAATTGCCCTCCCCTCTCGCAGCATCACTACTCATGCGTGTATTGCATTACTATATTATGCGTATTTTGAATGCATTGCTTTGTTATGTTAAATGGATAGTTGTGTTGGATTATATTTGTGTGCATTATTATTCATATTCCTATTGTATGGTGCTATTCTCTTTATTTAAGTGAATATTATTTGGTAAGCACAATATGTGATCCGCATAACATTAATTGCTTTTATTGCGTCTTGTGTCTGTGCATTATGTATTTTATTATGATGCGTATTGACCTATTTTTATAAATTATTCTATCCTATAAATATAAAAATATAAAAATATTAGTTAAACAATAGTAAGCAAGTTTGTCATCCAGGTTTTAGAATAGTTTTATTCTATATTCACATATTATTCATCTTCGTCATAATCGTTTTTATTATTATGTTTGATTATAGCCATCAATCTGGTTTGCAGGTTATTATCTTTACGTTTTTTGTCTGCTTCTACCTGAACAAATTTCAACATTGTAGACATTATCTTATAAAAATTATTGACTGCTGTTTCTTCTGTATTAGTGAGGTAGTAAAAATTTTTCTTCAGGTACAGTTCCTGCCATTCCAATAATATTTTATCTATCGGCTCTGAATTTATAATCATTTATCTTTGAGCTGCATATGTAATTTTTATGTAACTGTGGGAAGATTTTGAGTATATTATAAAGTTTATCAATTTTGCATAGAGATCAATGGCGTTTAATACAAATACTTAATAATTATGTCTAATATAAATATGTCCAATAATAAAATAATATAATTAAATATATATGTATAGCAAAATCTATATTATCTTATTAAATATTTTAAAACAGTATTTCTAATGAGCCCATTTACTGTTGGTCTCTCTGCGAAAATAAAAAAGTTTTATCACAAAAAGACTAATTTTTTATATGACCAGAGTCCTAGATTATTATTAATATAATATAATACCCGTTGACGCGGTTCCAGTCTATATCAACCAACATGTATGTTGCTTTTAACCAGGCTCTTTTTTGGTTTAAGGTACTAGTGTTTTCTCCTTCTGGCATATCATTTGGTGCAAATCGCTCAGGATGAGTCCCAAATCTATTTTTTTTTTTTGGTTGAACATTCTTGAAGGACCACTAGAATGTTGATGTAATGAGCCCCTCTGTCTTAACTCGTGTCGTTCCTTTCTTTTTAAATAATATATATGATGCAAAAGTTGTTTTGATATGTATTCTGCATTGTCCTCAAATTGTTTATTTTTCATTGCATTTGGGAATTGTTATTTGAAATACAATGTATTGTAACATCTGCAATTTTAAATAACTTATTAAATCAATTATGAATATTTTTACTTAGAGTATTACATTTTAATATACCTTTTGACAGTTCTAGTTTTAATTTGCGACACTGTATTACTTTCATAATACCTTGTAGATCAGCTTCAAAATTTAATAATTTTAAGTCATCTACACATTCCACCCCTAAATCATTTAAACGTTTTATTAAATTTGGTTCATCTTCCAGTGATGATAAATAAGGTCTACACTTATTTAGAAGTAGTTGCATTGTACTTACATATCATGGGTAAATTTACATAATGACGTTAGTTGAAATTTAACAACATTTTTTACAGTGTAGTTATATGGATGGTCAACCTACTACATTGTCATATGTTCCATAATACATTATTTTGTTGTTGTAATATACTACAAAGGTTACCTGTTGTTGTAATGACTGGTCACCTTTAAACTTCTACAATTGGTGTGATAATTTAAATTCATTATTACAAATACAATTTTCATTTTTTTGTCATGAAAATATCTATATTAAGAATAGTTTCAATTATTATATCAAGTAAAAATAATTTTATGCTTGCTGATGATTATTTGTTCATAGGTAAATTTACAGTATAATAGTAACATATATATTTAATTGAAAATAATGAATTAATGATATAATTTGGTTATGAATTATAAATTAAAAATTTTATCTGGTTTTTACATAAGCTACAATTTAAATATTTTTCATAAAACAAAATATTTGAATCCTTATTTTATTATGAGATACATTATAACTAAACTATTAATTGTGTATACTTATATAATAGCTATTTTTGTTATCTACCACATATGCATTAACATTGATATACAATGTTTCAAACTAAAAAAAAAAAAATGTTTTATACGTGTTAACATTATTGTGTATAATATTTGTAAGTTGAAAATTCAACTGATGATATATATGGTCAAGTTAGCTATGATTTGATGTATTATTCAATGAATGCATATGTATGAGCCCCTGGCGTGGTGTAACAATCTGCAAGCTCATAAATGTATATTTGAATAAATAAGTTAAATTACAACCCAAATCTGAAACATACATTTTTGGTTGTAAAGGTTAGCTAAATTCCTTACCTATGTGGTAAAAGCATGTTTGTATTTTATGCACAATTGGTATATTATATGCCCAAATATAACAGAGTTATAGGAAACACGGTATATTAACAGTGAACAAGTTGTAATGCATTGTGTTAAGAATATTTAAAAAAGTAGTTGTTATATAGTGTGTATAATTAATTTTATCTTTATTCTGTATTTCAAAATAATTTAGGAATCAAATGAGTGTTATGTAACTTAAGCTATTATTGTTATTAATTGGGTATGTGGTAAATATGTAAATACCTATCTATAAATATAAGTAACTACCAGAAAAATATTGAAAAAAAAAACATTTATTTTTTTATGCTACAATGTTAATATATTGTAGTAAACATTATTAAAAAAAATTAAAAAAAAATTATATTTCTTTTAAAAATATTATATCATACATTATTTTTTGTTTTATGAAAAAATATCGTATTGAAGAGTTTTAATTAAATATGACCATTTATAAAAACATCACAAGCGTAAAATAAAGTTTTGTTTTGATAATTTTTTTTAAAATAATTTGATTATTAATTTCGTTTTATTTTTTTTTAAATGTTTTATTATCAACAAAAAATAATGTATTTTTACAATGAATCTGTACTAAGGTTTACCATCTTCATCCTACGTTGTATCTTGTCTTAATCCTTTGTGATTGTCATCCAATATTTATGAAATATATTTCATTTTAATTTTCTTAATTGATCCAAACAAATAATCAGATTGTATATCATAATTATCACATTCAAATAATTTAGAATTAATTAAATTTTTGTATTGATTGAATACATTCAGAATATGCGTTGGTCTTCTACATTTTCATCTAATAGTTTTATTTTCTCTTACTTCATCACAGTTTTCAAATGTATCTGCTGTACGTACACACAATTATACGATCTACGCTATGCTAAACATGCACAATATGCATGTTTTCTGTGTTCCATACAAATCAAAAACGTCGTTTTCATCATCCCAAATGCAAACCACAGTCGTTTCACCTGTACGATTTCCTCTGTGCCTAGATGATCAAAAGTAATGATTGGAGATATTTTGTTATTATCAGTATCTTATGCAGTCATATTCAACATTATATGGGTATAAAATACAACGTACATTTAATAATGGAAATTCTGTTCTAATCTTTGTAATATGATTTTGTCCGAACTCCCGCCCCATGCTACTATTATGTTAATTTTGTTGTCACACAGTATATAGTTCCTTATGTACGTTACATTCAGACTATTTACTGGTGCCATCAAACTTCGATTGAGTTGATCTAAGCAGATGTCTCTCATCTCCGTTTTTACCTTCAAAATTCGTGCCAAAGCTGTTCGCGCCACTATTATTTCCTTGTCCTTCATTGGTCTTACTTCTTGGTTTTCCGGTAGTAATAATGGTCTTCCTTCTAGTTTTCTAATTTTAAAGCGGTCTAGACTATTTGAAATGGCACCTGATATCAGTCCATAATTTGTCTTGTGAATGTTGGTGAACTCGAAATCTATGATTACGAATTTGTGGATAATAATATATTGTAATGTCTGAGAGGGGCATAATTTCTTCTACATTATTACTAATGTAATTATTAACATAAATAGGTACAACAAATACAACGTAATTATTACTATATATTTTTCCCAATAACATTACTTTAAAATAAAAACTTTGTATAATTAATTTTCCGTTTTGTCTACCCTCGGATTCTTTCTCCTTCAGAAGTACAAAACACCGCCTAGCTTTTACTAAAAATAATATCCGTTTACCAGAAATGGCGGGCTTATCTTTGAGAAATCTTTTACCATCCTTCTCAGTAGTGCGAGCAGCGCTGTAATTTCTTCGAGGTTTTCCCGTCCCTTGAATTTAGGTGGCTTGATTTCCCTGTATATTATGGTTGCCGTGCCCACCGGGATTCCTCTTAAAGGGTTAATAAGAAAGAAGACATACAAATTCTATAATCTTTTTATTAATTAATTTTTTTTTTTTTTTAGATATAAACGGTTACGTTACTATGATTTTGCCTGCACGCGCGTGTTAATATATCAAATAAACATTTAGTTAAGATAAAATCCGTGCATGGGTCATGCGCGTATGATATAGGGTGAACCTGATTGCATACTAATTTGTGCGTCTCGCTCAAATTTAATTGACGCCCGCTTTTGTCGGCGTACCCAATCTCCTCTTGGGCTATAATTTGTTTAGTACTCTATATTTTCAATTATGAAATAAAATACGAGGTTGTCACATAAATCGTAAGACGTTAGCTCCAGCATAGTATACTTTCCTAAACCCAGACATACCACGATTTCTTTATCTGTACTACCACCAAAGAATACAAGTACGGGTTGTTTGTTCCCTTTATCTAAATATTTTTTGATACTCTTCACATTTAAATTATTTCTTTTTGAATTTATACTATCCCTCATTTGGATTAAAATTGGGGATAAACGTTCTTCTTTTCCTTTAAAATTTCTACACATTTCTCGGATCGCTCTAATTACGTCTAGCTCGCTCAATGTTTTGACCTGTCTGGCTAGTGTTAGAAGACAGGGTTTCCCCTCGATCTTGATCGCCCTAAACCGGTCTAAACTGTTTTACATTGCCCCAGAAACAAGCGCAATGCTTGTTCTATCGATCATCGATAATTCGAAACCATATTGATGAATCTTTTAGTGGTACTAAAACAAAAAAAAAAAAAAACAAAACATATGTAATAATGATTACTTATGACGACTTATAACAATAAAGAAAATTGGAGGATCCTATAGCTAAATATACATATATAATACTATACTAATAATCTTCGTTAATGCTGCAATCTGCTTTTCATAATATTGAATTTGTTCACAACAATAATCATATGAATGCGAAAAATTCATTATCTGTAATTTTAGCTAACGACATTAGTATGAAATGTATAATTTATAAATCTAATAATTAAAACGATTATTTATTAAACAACATTGAATATACGTATATATAATATATATTTATTTAAAATGATATAATAATTACTAATTATATTATTACATATTAGTTTTGAATATAGTTTTATTCTATATTCAAAGATTCTAATTCTCTGTGCAGTAAATGCACAGAATTTCTTATACATAATTTACATTTATAAAATGTATATTGCGATTGTTCGTATTCTAGTTTAAGATGTAATTTTTTAATTTTTTAATTTTTTTGTTTATTGCTTTAATTTTATTTTTATGTTTTTTTTCTTCTTCGTCTTCTTCATCCAAAGTTTTTTCTAATAATTCGTATTTTTCATCAATTTTTCTTTGGATGTAAGTTTCATCTGAACGGGAAGCCATTTTATTTTGAAACTGTAAATATTAATATTTATCTATCAATCAATATATTGAATAAAATAAAAAAAAGTCGAGTCATAATAATTATAAGCGATACAATATTATTTTTCCTTTATATTATATTATATTATATTTAACTCATATTATTTGACAAGTTTTCACAACACAGTTAAAATATTAATAAAAAATATTGAAGATATAGATATGTACAAGCATATACGTTTGAAAAAAAAAATAAAAAAAATACTTTATGCTTGTATTATCTATAAGTTCAACATTATTTACATCTTTTACATCATAGAATTCAATGTTTATAATATAATCTCATGGTTTACATAAACATAATAAGTTTTAATATTTCTCAATACATTTTATTTTACAGTTTCCCCTCGATCTTGAAGGTCCTAAACTGGTCTAAACTGTTTTACATTGCCCCAGAAACAAGCACAATGCTTGTCCTATCGAGCATCGATAATTCGAAATCCATAATGATGAATCTTTTAGTAGTACTAAAACAAAAAAAAAAAAAAACAAAACTTATGTAATAATGATTACTTATGACGACTTATAACAATAAAGAAAATTGGAGGATCCTATAGCTAAATATACATAAGTGTTATGACACCGAAGTGCTCATAAATCGGTCTCGAAATATTTTTTTGCATTATTATTAGTTCTTCCTCCCCTTCTTAATTGTTATATTCTCGTTGTCGTGTATCATTATTATTTCGTACGGACCTGTCCAATTCAAACATAACGCATTTTTTTTGTTATGTTCTTTTAATAATACCTTATCTCCTACATGTAGTTCGAGTGGATTTGTACTTTGGTCGTAGTATTGCTTATTCGTATTCTTTTTCTCGATTAGACTATCTCTTGCAATTTGATGTGTTTCCTGCATCACTCGTTATAAATCTGACGCGTAGTCATCATAATTACAACGTGGCTCCGTTGCCTGTATAAATGCCGAAGGAATTATCGGTTTTTTCCCGAAAACCAACTCGTAAGGTGTGTACCTAGTCGACGTGTGTACCCTAGTGTTGTAATAAAACATCGCGTAGCTAATTAGTGTGTCAAATGTAATAATGAAATAAAACTTTCGCCATTTCTTCAGCAACTCTTCGTTTACAATGCATTCTTCCAGCAGTAGTGTATTTAAGATTATTTTTATGTCATCAGGCCATTCGTAAAATGTACCCAAGTCGATTTCCGCAATGGTTATATTTGGCGGGGATGACATAACACAATTACACTATTAAATTTCAAATATTACAAATATCACACTTAAGTATTCGCTATGACTCCTCTAGTACTTTTGAAACTAACTTTTCCTTGTGGCACTCGTTAATAGTAATTAATATATTGTGCCACGTACACCATGCATAATTGTTTTGATATGTATTCTGCATTGTCCTCAAATTGTTTATTTTTCATTGCATTTGGGAATTGTTATTTGAAATACAATGTATTGTAACATCTGCAATTTTAAATAACTTATTAAATCAATTATGAATATTTTTACTTAGAGTATTACATTTTAATATACCTTTTGACAGTTCTAGTTTTAATTTACGACACTGTATTACTTTCATAATACCTTGTAGATCAGCTTCAAAATTTAATAATTTTAAGTCATCTACACATTCCACCCCTAAATCATTTAGGCGTTTTATTAAATTTGGTTCATCTTCCAGTGATGATAAATAAGGTCTACACTTATTTAGAAGTAGTTGCATTGTACTTACATATCATGGGTAAATTTACATAATGACGTTAAAATTAATGTACTATTACGTTAAACAATATGGCAGTTATGGTATCTACTATAACAGTGTCCGTTTGTACGGAGTGGAAAAGCAAGTGACATGGTGTTTCATGCCCCCCCAGAGCTCCTTCCTCATTCTGCCACTCAATAAAGGTGGTCAAAACGTCTTGTATCGCATGTATCCTTGTCCGGTTTAAAAGGAACCAGCTTCTCCGGTTGGCCCTCGTCAAATGCTTTAATAGACAGACCGGCGTCTGACCACCATCACGTAATTGTACCGAATGCTCATCTTCGTGCAGCGTATAGCGGAGATTAATTTTATTTTGAAACTGTAAATGTTTATATTTATTTATTAATCAATATATTCAATAAAATAAAAAAAAGTCGAATCATAATAATTATAAGCGATACAATATTATTTTTCCATTATATTAAAGGTTTTGTCGATGTCGTATTGATTGCCATTGGTAATTTAATATTCTTTTCAGGGTTAAAACGATAATATTCTAAAGATTCTAGAACATTGTTTAATCAGATTTTCATACTTGTATATCCTAACCACATAATCGAATATACATTTTGTGTATATGACATCTGTGCGGGGATCATGTGCGTGAGTTACTTTATGTTTCTTTTTGCATATTAAATTATGTCCTTCGGTAAGATTAAGTGTCCTTCCCGATTTATCATAATATCTTACTTCTACTTCGAAAATTAGTTCTTTAGATTCTACCCTTTCTAATTGCAAATAAAATTGTGGATTTAAATGTTTGTCGTAACAACGTAAATTTAATAATGGAAATTCTGTTAATCCTAATCTTTGTAATATGATTTTGTCCGAACTCCCGCCCCATGCTATTATTATGTTAATTTTGTTGTCACACAGTATATAGTTCCTTATGTACGTTACATTCAGACTATTTACTGGTGCCATAAAACTTCGATTGAGTTGATCTAAGCAGATGTCTCTCATCTCCGTTTTTACCTACAAAATTCGTGCCAAAACTGCAAATTTCCTTGTCCTTCATTGGTCTTACTTCTTGGTTTTCCGGTAGTAATAATGGTCTTCCTTCCAGTTTTCTTATTTTAAAGCGGTCTAGACTATTTGAAATGGCACCTGATATCAGTAAATAATTTGTCTTGTGAATGTTGGTGAACTCGAAATCTACGATTACGAATTTGTGGATAATAATATATTGTAATGTCTGAGAGGGGCATCATTTTTTCTACATTCTTACTAATGTAATTATTAACATAAATACAACAAATACAACGTAATTATTACAATATATTTTTCCCAATAACATTACTTTAAAATAGAAACTTTGTATAATTAATTTTCCGTTTTGTCTACCCTCGGATTCTTTCTCCTTCAGAAGTATAAAACACCGCCTAGCTTTTACTAAAAATAATATCCATTCACCAGAAATGGCGGGCTTATCTTTGAGAAATCTTTTACCATCCTTCTTGCTAGTGCGAGCAGCGCTGTAATTTCCCGTCCCTTGAATTTAGGTGGCTTGAGTTCCCTGTATATTATGGTTGCCGTGCCCACCGGGATTCCTCTTTTAATAAGAAAGAAGATATAAAAATTGGGTGTAAGTTTCATCTGAATGGGAAGCCATTTTATTTTGAAACTGTAAATATTAATATTTATCTATCAATCAATAATAATATAATAATATAGTTAAAAACTCGTCATAATCGTTTTTATTATTATGTTTGATTATAGCCATCAATCTGGTTTGCAGATTATTATCTTTACGTTTTTTGTCTGCTTCTGCCTGAACAAATTTTAACATTGTAGACATTATCTTATAAAAATTATTGACTGCTGTTTCTTCTGTATTAGTGAGGTAGTAAAAATTTTTCTTCAGGTACAGTTCCTGCCATTCCAATAATATTTTATCTATCGGCTCTGAATTCATAATCATTTATCTTTGAGCTGCATATGTAATTTTTATGTAACTGTGGGAAGATTTTGAGTATATTATAAAGTTTATCAATTTTGCATAGAGATCAATGGCGTTTAATACAAATACTTAATAATTATGTCTAATATAAATATGTCCAATAATAAAATAATATAATTAAATATATATGTATAGCAAAATCTATATTATCTTATTAAATATTTTAAAACAGTATTTCTAATGAGCCCATTTACTGTTGGTCTCTCTGCGAAAATAAAAAAGTTTTATCACAAAAAGACTAATTTTTTATATGACCAGAGTCCTAGATTATTATTAATATAATATAATACCCGTTGACGCGGTTCCAGTCTATATCAACCAACATGTATGTTGCTTTTAACCAGGCTCTTTTTTGGTTTAAGGTACTAGTGTTTTCTCCTTCTGGCATATCATTTGGTGCAAATCGCTCAGGATGAGTCCCAAATCTA